CGCCCCCTCCCGCCCCGCCGGGCCCCCGCCGGCCCGCCGCCAGCCCCCGCCCGGGCTGTGAATGAAAGGAAGGCGCCGCCGGGGGCTGGCTGGATACGACGCGGCGACGCCGGCCTCCCGGGAGGCGCGCGCCCAGCGGAGATGTACGGTAAGGAGGGCTCCGGGCTGGGTCTCGCAGGGGCCGACTCTGCAAACTTCCAGGACGCGAACCATTGTCCCCCTGCCTGGCCCCGGCGAAAGAGGAAGGCGCTGACTCGGTGCCCGGCTGGGCTGTCTCGGTCGCTGTGCACGCGCTTCTGTGCCGAGAGGACAAAGATGCCTCAGGCCGCGGGCCCCTGCGGTTCTCGGGGGTCCTCCGGGCCGGTTGTGTGCCGCCGGTGGGCGGCGGTCCGGCTGGGGCGCGGGGGTTGGGGGGGTGCGCGCGGGTTGGGTCCGCGCGGATCTCTGTTGGAGCAGGGCAGGCAGGGAGTGCTGGTGGAGGCGGCGGTCGTGTGGCAGCATTTGCAGAATTAACAAAAGCGGTTGGTGCTTGGGAGTTTCATGCGGGAAGCCGGCCCGGGGTGGAGGGGAGACGCTCTCTGCCGGCCTGAAGCCCGGCTGTGAGGATGTGGGAGGCGGCGCCGGCGGGGCAGAGGGCCGAGGAGCGAGCCAGTGCTGGAAGCCTCGTCTCGTTGCCCTGGGTGGACTTGGTCTCTGCCTGTCCCTGCCGCTCGCCCATGGCATGCATGTTCCCCAACTTCCAGATTCGCCCTCCGCAGTGATGAAAGGAGGAGGCGCTGCTGAGAGGGTGCAGCACAGCCCAGCCCCGACACCCCTCACCCCTTCCACGGCCTTCCCCTCCATCTAAGTGCAACAGTTAGCCAGACCCTCACGGTGCATTGCCCTGCTTGCTAACGTGCCAGAAATTCCTTTGGTTTTGCAGCTAGCCTGGGTGAAGAGAAGAGCCATGGGGCTCCACACTGCAGCTCTGATGAGCGGAGCGCGGGAGGGCCACTCCAGTCTTGGAAAGGATGCGTTACAGAGGCTGCAGACCTTCCAGGGGCTGTGCGTGTGATCCCACGCTACACAGAAGTCCCTCAGAAGCCGGGTCTCTGGCAACCATTGTAGGGCCAGCCAGAGAAAGGGAGCTGTCCTCACATCCTAACCCCGCGGCGAGACAGGGGGCTCAGGCTGCACCTGAGAGCTGTTTGGAGCAGAGCACGTTCCCAATTTAACCCTCGCTGAGGCTGCTCAGCTGCCTCACTCTGCAAACAGCCTGTGAGTCACAAAGTTTGTTAGAAGCACAGGAAGCAGAGAGGGTGGTGGGAAGACTCAGCAATCAGTAGCTCCTCTGTTGAGAGAAACGCACCTCCTTAACCCGTGCCTTTCCCTGCCCAGTCGTACTGTATTTGCATTTCTGATCTAGGTTGAGACATCAGCAGGTCCTCTCAGCAAGTAGATTTCTCTTGAATGGACCAAGTGGGAAGAAGGGGAGGTTGACTTCAGAGGCTGTGCTGCTGGGGACTCAGGGACTCTGGAGAAGGTGACAAAGTGGTGGAGCTTCATAAGCTGAGAGGTGGTAAGGTTCCCGAGAGAGTGCGAGAGAGAGAGCTATATATCTATTTTTTACTCTCTCTGCCTTCCACCCTTATTCTTCTCTGCAGATGGAGCAGCCTGAAACTGCAGATCATTTGACAAAAGCATGTGACTGCAGGGGCACCTGCAGTGGGGAAGGAGTTAGGACAGGCCCATCGGAATGGGTTAGAATCAGGAGCCCTGGTTCTGTTGGGCCACCCACTACATTTGGTCTGAGGCGACGTGGTCATGTTCCTGGGATGTGCAAGAGTTGGAGGTCCCAGTCTGCCGTGCGGTCTGAAGCAGGTTATTGAAGAGCTGGCTAGTGCAGAAAGGTGGTGCGGAACCAGCGGGTCCGGGCGCTGTTTTCAGATGCACCACAGATGTTCATCTCTTTTATAGTATGTTTCCATTTCCCCAGATGCTCACAGAAATGGTATCACCCTGCATGATTCATAAAAAGCTTATAACGCGGGATTCCTCTGGGCAGTTGCCTTCAGTAAAGAAAGTCACACCGATGCAGGGTAGGAGACTATAACTCAGTATGTCTTTCTTCCTTCCTTTCTTTCTTTCTTTTCTTTTTTTTTTTTTTTTGTTGTTGTTTTTTGAGAGGTTTTTACTATAGGGCGTGTGTGCTTGCCAGAAAGAGAGAGACAGAGAGACAGAAAGCGAGAAATCGCCCCCCAGGGGGATGGCCACACTGCAATCCCGTCTCCTCCATTCTCCTCTCAGGATCTTGGGCACGCACACACACACGCCCAGCGTGAGTTTAAGCCACTGGGTCCAGGACTCGAACTGTGGTCACCTACATGCGAGTCCAGCAACATAGCCATTATGCCATCTGCTGGTCCCTATAACTGAGTATTTCAGGAGTGGGAGGGAGGCCTGCTCTTCA